TGAGAGGGGCTGGGGGCAGGCTGGGGGTGAGGGGAGAGCAGAGGGCCCTGTGGCTCCCAAGAGTGCACGAGCTCTGCCTCCACTGGCCCTATCCCACTTCGTCCATTGGGCCTGACCCAGTTTCTACAGTTCCAAGTTCCTTTATTCGAAAGCAGCACACGCGAGTGGAGCTGCCAGGAGAGCACCAAGATGTGCATGGGGGTTTGGGCAGGGCCCGGGGAAGCGGTGCTAAGGAGACGCTGGCCAGGGGCAAGGCCAGGGCCAGGCTGTACGCGGCCCACCCCTGTACTCCACATATTTGGGGACCAGGCACCCCCTCATCCTTGCCACCCCATCTCCAGGCCTCCTGCCACAGCTGGGCTCATGCCTCCAGGGCTGCCAGCCAGGCGCTGGGTCAGCGGGATGGGATGGGACGATCTAAGAGGAGGCAGGCCCTCTGGAGGAGAGAGGACTGGGCAGTGATCCCCCGCCCGTAAGGGTGCGCGCACACACTCTAGTCATCTCTGCTGGCCCTTCACTGTCCTCCCCCAGGACCCTTTCCCCACCATCAGAGACGTTCAGGCCTCTCTTTCCTCTCTATAGTCCGCTTTCCCTTTCCAGCAAAGGGAAAATTCACGTTTGCTGAAGTCCTCACCGTGGGCAATAACACCAACATTAACACTGCTCCCATTTCACAGATGAGGAAAAACTAAACGGAGGCCCAGATAAATGCCTTGCTCAGTCACAGCTGGCAAGTCCACATTTCCACATCTGCCTGAAATGTTTTCTGTACAGGCAGACTCTAACACATCTCTCCCAGCATAGACCCACACAGCTGGGTGCCTTTGTGATGGGGTCCACCCTGGGGAACTGACTGCACTCACACGGGAGCATGCCTCTGTGCCCGCGGCAGCATCAGGCTAGGACGTAGAGGCATGGCTGGGTAGGGCTCTTCCTCAGGCACCCACACGGCGCTCTGTGCCCGCGGCAGCATCGGGCTAGGACATAGAGGCATGGCCGGGTAGGGCTCTTCCTCAGGCACCCACACGGCCAGCCATTGCCTCCCTCCTTGGGGGCAGGAGCTGCATCCAAGGGAAGGAAGGGGCACCAAGACCCAGAAGCCAAAGTGTCCGCAGCAGTAAGGGGAGGGTGGGGTATGAGTAGTGGCGCAGGGGCCTGGGGGAGGCAGAGGCTTTCAGGGCTGGGCCTCTTCACTAAGCCCCAAGGCAATCCCAGTCAGGGCTGTTCCAAGTCCTGCAGCCCCTGTACTCCCTTCCTGGCAACCCCCAAAAATCTGAGTCTGCCTCCCTAGACCAGTTCTGCATACTTGGCCCCACTCTGGGGGTTTCTACCTTCCTCCCGCAGACAGTCTTAGGAGACTAGGGAGACCCAGAGGCAGCCTGCACGGGGTCTGGGCAGCCAAGGCCTAGAAGGGAGGCGGGCCGGACTGGCCAACAGCCACCGTCCAAATGAGCTCACACACATACTTTCCACCCTGGCCCAAGGCCGAGCTCAGCTCCTTCCAGGCCAGCCTTCCCTAGCCAGGCCCAGCCCCCTCTGTCCTCTTCTGCCATCAGTCCTGGCCCCAGGAATTCCACAGCAGGATCACTGGGCATCCCAAGACAGGGATGTCACCACATCCCCAGGGAGCAGCTGCCTCTGCTTCCATGCTGAAGCCAGATCCCTCAGGGACCCTTATTCCTCAGCCACTGGGGCCTTGGTGGCTTAGAGGAAGAGAACCGCTCCCTGCCGCCAAAGACCCGACACCTGGGTAGAGAGGGTCATAAAAGAGACAGCAGTGATGGTATCATTGTAGCAAATGGGCGGAAGGGCTTCCTCTGAGTGCCCGAATTAATTCATTGACTCAGGACCAGGCCAGGTCTGGGAGCT